TCTCTCGTGAAAAACTGGACGTTTTCGGTTACATATTGTGCATGTATTGATTTCCCTAGAAGGTTGTTGCTGTGTTTCGCTTGTTCATTTATTTGCTCACTGACCTGCCTGGGCCACACCGAGGGAACCGTGTGTCTCCCTTGCTGTCTGCCGCGGCTGACGCTATTTTATTTTTTTAATTTCTAATGCTTGTTGTCAAGCCTGGCTGCCGCAGCCCGGTGCCTGCGGCGCTCAGAGGTCGGCCAGCACCAGCTCGGAGGTCATCCCCAGCGACCTGGAGGCGGCGAGCCCGCCGTCCGCCGTCTGGGACCGGCGTGCGGGCAGCGGAGCACGTTCAGCCGCCGTCCCTCCGCTGGCGCCTCCTGTTCACCGGCTCCCGCCCACGCACACCCGACCCCGGGGTCCCTGAGGGCTCGGTGGCAGGCGCTGCCCTTCCAGGGGGCGCAGCGGCTCTCCGCCGTCTCCCAGACGACCACGGGCCTGCCGGTGCTGCGGGACACCGCGTCACCCACCGCTCCCAACCGTCTGCCGGCCCTTCCCGGTGGCCGTGCAGCAGCACCTGGCGGCAGCCGCCCTCCCCGCAGACTCCGCCAGTCTCTCCCGCTGGGAGGGGCCGGGGCTGCAGCCGGGCCCGCGGGCTCCTGCGCGAAGCTCCGCGGCGCTCAAGCGCAAACACTTCCCAGCTCGTTGCCCGCTCTCGGGGTGATTGCCCGAGTATGGAAATGGCTGCTCTCGTCCGTGTGCGCAGTTTCATCGTTGATTTGGGGGAGAGGATTTGCCAGTCTGTCCACGTGGCTGTCGGGGGACAGGACGTTCCGCCTCCCGGAAGTGCGCTCCCAACCGGCAACCCTGCGGGCGAGCTCAGGCTCCTCGGGAGGGCGGGGGTGGGGACAATGGTGGCCACGAGACTGGGAGGGCTGCGGTGGGCGAGAGCCCACTCAGGAGCTGGAGGTCCAGCGTGGCGGCGACCCCGGGGAAGACTGTCCCCAAGTGCTAAAGCTGCGTCTGTGGAGCGTGGACAGGGGAACGTGGCCCCCCGGACTCCCCGTCCAGTGCTCTCCCCCGAGCGCTGAGCTGCTGTTGGCTTCAACGGTGGGCGCGTGGCCATCTGACTCCTGCGAGATTTCCGCCCGCCCACTCAGTCGTTGTTCAGTGCTGACCGTGCAGGTGGCCTGCGGGGGACTTGGTGACAGAGGGGGACGCCCCTTTCCTGGGCCCGGGGTTGGCTGGTTCTGCGGCCTAGCCTCGCTGCCGCCCGCCGCCCAGTGTGCAGACCCCTCGGAGGCCACCCGTCCGGAGCTGCACAGCCACCCCCTCTCTTGCAGGTCTGCCCCCTGTCCAGGGAAGTGGCCTCGCTGCTGTCCCCCCGGACACTCCAGTCTCTTCTGAAGTGGGACTGGACTCCCTCCGGCTCACGGAGCAGCCAGCGCGGCACAGACCTGGCGCCCTCCACTCCCGCCGCCCTCCCCCGGGCGCTGGTTCCATCCGGCCTCTTTCACCTGGCCCCGGGCCACAGCCCGCAGCGGGCTCCCTGCCTCTCTCCCACGCTCCGGCTCCCGGGAGCTCCCAGGACTCACGCTGGGAAACACACATCGACCGGGTTGTTCCTTCCGGAACCCCTGCAGGGCTCTCCCGGGGCTGGGGAGCAGGGGTCCTCTGGGCCGTGAGTCACCGCCCAGTCCCGTGCGCTCCGGGCGGCGGCCCCTCCCTGCGGATGGTGTGCCGGCTCCTTCGTCCCTCGTCCTTCCCACTGGGGCCCCGTTTGTCGTTCCAGACCTGCTCAGGTGTGTCCCTCCGACTCCTGCTCCCCAGGAACACACACACCCCTGCCCCCACCCCAGCACCCAGGGTCCCCGTGACCGCTGTGTTCTCGGCGCGTCGCCGCTGTCAGCAGCCCCCGTCAAGAACCTCCGGGCAGAGGGTTGGGGGGAAACGGAATTGATCGCAGGCCGACGGATGTTTAAATTGCCGACCTTTTCTGGTCCTCAGTGTGCCCACACCCTGGGGCCTCCGAGAGGGGCGACAGAGCCGGGTCCTTCCCGACCCACGGCCTCCTTCCCGAGGGAGCCCCGAAGGGCCCGCGCCCAGTGCGCGTCCTGCTGCAGGCCATGCTCTCCTCGTGCAGACGGGGAACCGAGGCTGCACGCACGGCTGGGGGGTGGGGCAGGACAGTGGGCAGGGGCGGCCGCTCCTGGCAGGGACCCTTCCCCAGCCCCTGCGTCTGTGGGGCTCCTCTCAGCCCGGCACTTGGAACAAGTTCACCTCGGGAGTGCAGACACACTGTCCCCAGAGTGGGGGGTGTCCAGCGGGGGCGTCTAGCACAGGGGGTGGGGACTGAGGACCACAGAGCCCACTGCCAGGGCCGGTCCCCTCCCGACACGGCTGTGTGGGGGGCCTCCCCGTCACTGTCCCATCTCACACGCACCACAGCTGGCGCGCTCTGGCCACCCCGCCCCGTGTTCCCAGACCCTGGCTTCTCGGCAGGGCAGCCTCGGGTGCAGGAGCCTGGCCTGGCTCGCCGAACCCAGGGGCAGACCGAGGCCCGGACGCACCCGGGGACCCACCCGGGCCCTGCCGGACTGAGGCCAGGCGCCGCTGAGGCTCCTGTCACCGCGAGCCCCGGATGACCCACTGGCCGTGATGGGCACTCTCCGAGGCAGTGCAGCCTTTGCGGGGGGGGGGTGGGGGGGCGTCTGGGGCCCCACAACCACTTCTGAAATGTCACTGTCAGCACCTTGTCCTGAAGACCTGTCCCTCCCGCTGGGTGATCCAAGGCCGCCTACTTGGCCTCTCTGGGCCTCGAAAACCTTGTTTCTGAGCCAGCACAGCTCTGCACCGGGGCCCTGGGCGCCCCGGACGCCCCGGCCGACTGAGCCGCCCTGGGAGGGGCAGAGAGAACTGGTGTCATTCGGAAGGCCTGGGACCTCTATGAGTGGGTGGGCGGGCGGTCCGATTAAGTTGGAGGGACAGAGCAGTCTTCTTTCTGTGGCGGCAGCCTTGTCAGGGGATGGGGGGCACGTCTGAATGTTGCAGCTAAAAGGTTTGGGCTGGGGTCCCAGGGCCCCCTGGCTTCTCTGGAAAGTCACCACCGACTGGGACCCAGCCCGTGCCAGGAGAACCCTCCCAAGAGCTGTGCCGAGCGGTGGGGGCCTGAGGCCGGCGGCCCACCTGGGTCCCCAGGGTGGTCTGGAGATGGCGGGGAAGGGGCTCCACTCAGAGGGCCAGAGGGCACAGAGGTAGCCCGCGGGACTCCACGGTGAGCCCGGCCACCCCGCTGGGCTAGCACTGGCTCTCACGGATACTGCGGCAGGCCTGGGCTGGCCGGCACTGGAGAGCTGGGGAGTCAGGGCGGTGGGGGTGAGGACCTGGAAGCGGAGAGTGAAGGGTCTCACTTAGGACACGCAGCCGGTGCCTGGGACGTGGCCCTCTGCCTCCTTTGGGTGAGTTCCCGAGCCCCGTGGGCCCCCCGTCTCCGTCTGAAACTGAGGGCGACAGGACCCACCCCCTGCGGCTGTCCCGGGGGTCGGGGAGTTCATTCTTTCTTCCCTCGGGAACAGAGCCGGGCCCGGTGTGGGTGCCGCACAAGTGCTAATCTCCGTGACCATCACCACTGTCACCTGGATCAGTAGGAGATGTCCCCCCTCTGAGCAGCCTCCCCTTCCCCACCCCGGACCTGGTTCCTTGGGGCCCCGGGCCCTCCCTCTGCTCCTGAGCCCCCCACCCCATGTCACTGCCTGTTTACCCGGGTGCCTCCAGCATGGGACTGCAGGGGCAGCCGGAAGTCCAGTTCCGTCTGGAGCCCAGGGCTCTGCGTGTGGGGCTGCTTCAGGGGTTTGGGGGCCAGAGGGAACCTCACACTCTGTCTTCCCCAAACGTCAGTCCTCTGGGGTCTCCCTGGAGTTAGGGGGTGGCTGTGACAGGGACGTGGGCCTGAGGGCCTTTATCTGATGCTGGGGCCTCCGAGGAAAGGAGGCCAGGAGGCCCAGTGGCCCGTCCTGGCAGAGGACGAAGGCCCCCACCGCTGTCTTTTCCTCCGAGGCCCGCAGGGCGCCCCCTGTAGGCGCGCCATAACGTTGCACTGAAATCCGTCTAAAGGGTTCAGCGCCGGGGGTGGGGCTCTCTGCTCCCTTCACTTTGGCCTGCCAGGCTCTGCCCCAGACGAGGCGCACCCCCACCCTCGGGTCACCCTGTGCTCAGCTGTCCCTCCTTATGCTCCGGGGCTAGCCCTTGGTGGCCCCTGGAGTTGGGACACAAAGCCACCAGTGCAGGCGGCTCCTGAAGCCGGAGCCCCAGGCGGGCTGCTGGAGGAGTGGGCTCTGCCCGGCGGGCAGTGCCAGGGCCTCGCAGGGCCCACCCGCTGCCCTGAGGGTCCTTCCTGTAGCTTCCTGGTGCTAAGGTCTGTCTCCACGGCCAGGTCTTGAGTGCCTCGTACAGGAGAAACCGCGCCCCCCAACCCAACTTACACACTCACACTGTGTCCTAGCCCGGGCTCCGTGGACTCATTTTGCCAATAAACGTGTCCATCTGGGTGTGGTCTGTCCCCTTCAGGGCCTGGCCACAGGCCGGCGGTGCCCTTGTATCCACGTTCCGGGACCGAGGCTGGTCCAGCGTGGTGCTCAGTAAGGCAAGAGGGAAGGGACGAAGAAGAGAGATTGGAGGGGAGGAGGAGGGAGGGGCAAGGAAGCCAGGACAGGGTTCCCTAGCCTTGCGGGCGGGGCGGGGTGGGGGGGGCCGCGCCCCAGGACCTCTGGCGGGGCCTGGAGCTTTGGGCGCTCGCTGGGGCGGGTGGGCGCGAGGCAGCCGGCAGGTGGCGCTGCGCCCTCGCCCGAGAGCGCACCCGCCGCGGCGGAGCGGCGAGTCCCCTCCTCCCGTGCGCGCCCTCCCCTCGCCCGCTCCTTTTTCTGCGTTTTTCGCTGGCGCTCCTCAGCGCCCTCCGACTCTCGCGGCCGCGGTCTCCTTCGCTCGCGCCGCTCGCCGCCTGCCGCCGCCCCTCAGAGACCATGGCGCCCCGGGGGCCCCCGCGCGCCCCTAAGGGCCCCGGCCCGGCCGCCCGAGCTCCGAACGCCGGAGCCCCGCCGCCGCCGCGCTCGCGGCCGCTCCTGCTGCTGCTGCTGCTGCTGCTGCTGCTGCCGCCTCTGCCCGTCGCCGGCGGGGCGGCGGGGCGCTCCTCCGAGCCCGGGCTCCGGGGTCCCATTGCCCGGCTGACCCGGTCGCTGCCAGCGAGCTCGCTCGCGGGGCGAGCGCTGCCCCGCGGCGGCGAGAACGGACCGGAGCGGGGCGCGGAGCCCGGCGCCCGGGGTCCGGCTCCGGCTCCAGCTCCGGGTCCCGGCGAGGACGGAGCCCCTGCCGCGGGCCGGGGACGCTGGGCGCGGGCGGCTTCCGTGGCCGGAGCGGCTTCGCCGGCGCTCACCAGCTCGTCGTTCGTGCTCAAGGGAGACGCGACGCACAACCAGGCGATGGTGCACTGGACGGGCGAGAACAGCAGCGTAAGTGACCTCCGCGCGCCCCGGGGCCGCTGCCCCGCACACCTCGGAGTCCCCCACTTCCCCGCCGCCCGGCGGTCGCCGCGGGCTTCAGGCTATTTGGGGAAGCGAGTCACCTCGTAGGACCCTGTTGGGCTCCGGCTACCGGTTACCTGGGGCGAAGTCCCCAGATATGCGAGCACCCTGCCTCACCTCAGGGACATTTCTACAGATTTCCGGGACCTTGAGCCACCTGGGCGCGGCCCCAAAGGCCCCAGAGCACAGGTTGTGGAGACTGGCGTTGTCTTCAGAGCCTCCGGGACCCTGGCCACCTTGGGGCACCCCCAGGCCCTGTAGGGTTATCCCCCAACCGGGTGTTGCGCCGCGTCTGCCTTCAGCCTCTGCCCTGTCTGCTCAGTGGTGCGTTCTGGGAGTTTGGGCTCCAGAACCCTCCCCACTTTGGTCTCCCTGGCACCCCCCACAGGGCACCTCCATGGGCTCCAGGGCTTCCTTGGTTAGCTTGGGGTCCGATTCTGGGGTTCCCGCTCTCTCTGATGACCCTCGGGGGCCCCACGGCTGCCTGGAAGTCCTGTCACCAGAGGCAGCTGGGTGACCAGGGATTTGTGTGCTACCTGCGGAGTCGGGGGCCCCCCTGCCAGCTCCCCACCAGAGGCTGCAAACTCCCTGCCGCTCCCCCTCCCGCCGTCCGTGCCCCTTCGGCTTTGCTCCTGCTGGAGGTTCAACGGGACACCCTTTTCCCCGAGAGGCCACTTCTGTTAGGGTCCCCCGTGCGTCCTTCCACCAGCGCCGTGGTTCCTACCTGTGCCAGATCCTGCCCCGTGGTTTTTGGTGGTGCGTCTCCTGGCTTGGGGATGCCCTCATGTTCGCCCCTAAGGACTGGCTCCCTCCCTTGCTGCCCCCCCCGCCCCCCCCCAGGACTGATGGTCATGCTGGAGTCATCTTCAGGCAGTCCTCCGGGTCAGCACTGGGGCGGTGGTGTCTGCTCTGCATGCGTGCGTGTGCGTGTGTGTGTAGGGCTGGTTGTGCAGGGAGGAGAGAGGGAAGACTCTGCTCACTCCTTCCCACCGCCGTTCATGGGGGTGTCCCCCCGTGGCTGACCCCCCGGCTCGCAGCCTTGACCACTGCTCCCTGAAGTTCTGAGGAGGCAGCGCTGGGCCAGGACCCCGGTGTCCTTTGGGAGCAGAGGCGTGGGAGTCTGGGTGTGCCCCTCGCCAGGAAAGGGGTGCCACCAGGGTACTGTGGCACCTTCACCCCCTGCTTGTCCAGCCCGCTGGGCTCCCCCTCGGTGAGGGTGCTGCTGGAGGAGCCAGAGTGGGGGTGGATGAGTCAGCTGGGGGGCAGCACCTGATGGGCTTGTCTCTGGTATTTTCCAGCCGGACTAGAAGCCCCGGGGAGGGGGGTGTGCAGCTGACCTGCGGGGCCCCCTGGCCGGCAGGGGCGACCCGGGTGCCAAGGGGGTGCTTCCTGGAGGGCAGCAGGCACCCCTTCCCTAGAAGAGCCCGAGGGGGCCCTCCCCATCCGCCTCTTGAGAAAGGGGTCCGACCCCAGACGTGCAGCTGGGTCCTGCCCTTCACGGCGCCCTGACACTCGTGACAAACCACGCCCCACGGGGTGAACTGTAATTCACGGAGCGAAAGGGAACCGGGGGCCGTAACTCAGAGGGACGAACGGACGGGGAGAGTCAGCCCCGTGGAGCCGGGGAGCTGCACCAGGCCCGCCGCCACCTGCAGAGGTTGTGGGTCCCGCAGCTTCCTCTCGTCCCTTTGTCGTCTCGGCTCCGCGGAGGGAATGGAATGGGGGGGAGAGGGGAGAGAGAGACTGAGGGGAGCAGACCAGCCCCCAAAGTGGGACCAGCGCATCAGCACTCATTGGCGCCTGGCCGCCACCACACTGTGCCCCGCACACACCCGGCCCGTGCTGAGCACAGAGCCTGGGGACCTGGCGGCTTCCGGGGAGAGAGTGAGGAGGGGCTTGGACCTGCAGGGCTGGGGTGCTGGGGTGCTGGAGTGGGGTGCTGTCAGAGGAGCCCCCTGACTTTGCTCCTTGGGGACAGTGGCTGGGTCGGGGGACGGGGCTGCTGGCAGGGGCATGCCGGGGGAGGGGGGCTTGGGGGTGGAGTGGGGGGTGCTGGCTTTTCCTGGTGGAGGGGCGGGAGGTCCAGAACGGGAGGTGAGGCTCTCCTCCCGCCTCCGGGAAATGGCAGGGCAGCGGTAGCGCCAGGATGGCCTTCACCGGGGCTGTCAGCAGTGCTGGTGTCTGGGTGAAGGAAGGCAGACGTCGAGGAAGCACGGAGCCCGGAGACCGCCAGCCCACTCACACGCCTGCCCCTCCCCCACCTGCCCGGTGGAAGGGCGAGTCCAGGGAGGCCTGGGCTCCGGAGAGGCAGAGCATCCCGGGGGAGAAGTGACTCCCCGCTCCTGGGCCGGGCTCAAGGAGCGCGATGGGAGGGCTGGAACCACGGCCCGTAAACCACGTTTCTGATTGTGGCTTCCCAGCCTTGTTTCCACGGCCCTCGGACGTGCCCTTTGCTCCTCTGTCCGCCGCCGGCAGCCCTGGGGCCAAAGATTTCAGCCAGGATTCTGCTACGGCCCGAAGGAAACTACCCAGAGGCCGGTTTGCCGAGCGGAACCCCGTCACCGGTGTGTCCCACCTGGTCTGCCCCGGGGTTGAGACCCGGGAGGCGTGCTCGGCAAACCGACGGGGGGTTTGCTTCGCCACGTCAGGCATTGTTCAGGATTTAAACACAGCAGCCGACCAGAGGGACAGGCGTCTGAAGCGCTACTTTAGAGCCCCGCACGAAGGAGCCGCAGGGCTCGCGCTGGTGCCCAGAAAGGCCCGGCGGCGGCCGTCGAGGGTCAGGGCCGGCTGTGCGTCTCCCGCTGCGGCTGGGTGGCCCCCCTTCCATGGGGATGTGGCCGGGACGTGCTTAGAAGCAAACAACACTGTCTTCCTGTCTGACGCTGAGCTGTGCTGAGCTGTGGAAACAAAGTATTACGTGTGACGTTAACGTTTCGTGGAGTCAGTTGGCATTACCTTCGCTGCATCCGCTTGGCTGGGCGGAGGCGCCTGGGTTTGTCTCTGGAGCTGCCCTCCGAGGTGGGGGGGCTGGAGGTGGGGGCGATCATAAGGGGATTCAGAGAGCCGGTCTTTGCCTCTGGGGTCTCAGCCTCCCGGTACCCTAACGGGACTGCGCTGCGCCCCGTCCCAGTTTCACCGTTTCTGGGAACCCACGGGCTTATCGTGCTCATTTTAGGCACGGCTCACCCGCGCGCCTCTCTCAGGGCACTTGAACTCCAACTCGGATGGACTTGGACGTGAGCTTTGGCGACCACGCAGCCAGGCCCAGTTGGTTCAGCTTTGTCACCGTCCGTCAGTAGGCCGGCGCCCCTCCCCCCGTTCCCCACCCTTGCTCCGTGCGTGTGTCCTCTACGCGCGCGCGTCTCCAGGGTCGAGATGTCGAGAGGAGCCCTGTGCAGACACAATTCTCGGCTCGTTGTCCCCATTCTCTGCTCCGGGGTTTGGGGCCACAGAGAGCTGGGGCAACAATGAGAAGTGCGGAGCGTCGGAAGGGGCGAGCTGGGTCACGACCCCGCCAGCTGTCAGGTCTGCGCGCGCAGGCAGGCGTGCGGGCTTCCCAGGGCTGCCACAGCGGCGCCCCGCAGCCCGCCGGCTCCAACAGCGCAAGCGCATCCTCTCCCGGCCCTGGAGGCTGCAGCCCCAGCCGAGGGGTGCGGACAGGGCGTTTCCTCCCGAGGCCCCGCCCCTCGGCGTTCAGACGTCCGTCTCCTTCCCGGGTCTTCGCGGCTCGTCCCTCCGTGCGGGTCTGCGTCCGGGCCCCTTCCCACAGGGACACGGGTCAGACCGGAGCCGGACCCGTGATGGCGTTTTACCTCCGTTCCGCCCTCAAAGCTCCTGCCCCTGAGGGGTCACGTTCTGAGGTCCTGGGGGTCAGGACTTGAACACAGGGTTATTTGGGGGGAGGGGGGTGCCAGTTCAGCCCCTAACACAGGGAGGTGGTCTCAGCTACCTTGGCGTCCCCCCCGGATTAACACCGTGGGGCTCAGAGAGGCCCAGTGGGGCGAGAAGGGTGGACGGGACCAGCGAGGGTGCGCGCTGGAGTCGGCTCCTGACGGATCTGCAGCGAGGCCCGCCAGCCCAGGGAGGCAGTGTGGCCTCGTGGTTATCGGCGCCTAATTACCCTTCAGAGTCTGCTGGCCCGGGGGTGGACGCTGAGGCCCGGAGAGCTTAGCTGTCCGTGGCCCAGGGTCCCGGAGCTGGGAAGGAGCGGCGCTGGGGGTGGGACTTAAGGGTGCAGGCTCAGAGAGGCTGGCGGCGGCCGGGGCCAGGGCCCCGATGCGGGCGGGGGGGCGAGAGGAGTGGGCCCCAGAGGTCTCTGGGTGGGGGTGGGCACTGGCATCGTGGCAGACGGGCAGCCCCCGCGGATGGGCCCGAAAGGCCTTCCTGTAACGCACTTCAGGGTGGTGAACGCGCCGGTGCAACCCGGGGATGAAGCTACCCCGTGGCCTTGCGTCTGACGGCCGCGGCCGCGTGCCGGCCGCCCCGTCCCACTCTCGGAGGAGGAGGGCTTGGTGGCTCCGGGGCACGCTGCCTCCTGCTGAAGCCTGCTGTGCCCTCCCCCACGGCGGGCCCCGCGTTCTGGGGTGGGCGCGGGCTCACGGGGGCTGCGTTGTGGCTGCCCGGGGTGTACGTGGCGGGCATCTTCCCGGAGGCTCCTCTGGCGTGGCAACCTTCCCCAGGCGTGGCCGGGGCTGAGTGCCCGTCACACGTGCTGTGCGGAGGCCGACTGTGCGAGCCCCTGGGGACCCCCGGTGGCTGGGTCGAGAAGGAGGAGAGAGCGGGGCCCGCCTGCACCGTGGGGCAGGTGGCGGCGAATGGAGACGGGATCCGGCGGCGGGGGGGTGGGGTCTAGGAAAGTCCTGGTGTGGAAACCGGCACAGTCACTCTTAGGAGGATGCCTGCCAGGGTGACCCGGGGTACTCCAC